CAACTTTTGGGGAGCTGCCAACGCATAGATCTGAGCCAGGGAACTGCCGAACAATACATATTTAGATGTCCTCCCGAAAGACCCGGGACATGACATCATCCTGCTCTCCCACCCTGCCCAAAGACGGTGTGTTTTCCAAAGCGGGAAGCCCTATTATTCTGAGAGAGTGGCAGAAGTAAAACACCCAAGGGCAAATGGAAATTTGTTCTTATGTGAATATGTAATTTTGGCAGGCTTCCTTAATGCAAAGAGGCATCACCTCCTCAGCATTCCGCCAATGTTTGAAGAGCGCCTAATCCAGCAATCTTTCAGTAAAAAAATAAAGTCCTTCAGTTGCATGAAAGCGGCAGCAAACCTGGAGAAAGGGCTACATGACATCCATTACCATGAACCGGCGCCTGTCTGGATGACAGCTCTATAAACGGATTGTCGTGAAGAAATTCAACAAATGTCCTGAAGTGGAAACCAGGAATGATCTCACTAGTGGTCTGCCAGGCAGATCCTGTTCATTTAGATATTGACTTCTTTTAATTTATGTCCTGCCTTCCCAAATTTTCATACCACCAGGGCTATTTACAACATAAAGTCCAAGGTAGGAAACACACAGTCCTCCAGATTATGTCCATTTTTCACATCTGTCAGCCTTAACAAACATCTGCAATGGTAAGTAAGGCTGAGAGTTGAAGAGTTTTGAATTCCTGGTGAAATTGTTTTTCTGCTACCCAGTAGATGTACAGAGACTCACAGAGGAGAATAGCTGTAAGTTCCGCAGATAGTCCACCCCTTTCTCATTAACTCGCACTTAAAGTCTCAGTAATGCACTCGGAGACATTTCTAGCAGAAAGGAAAAAAACAAAACATTTCTTTACTTGCGGTTGCTTAAAATGGCAAGTGTGTGTGCTTTCTTTACTTCACACATATTTAGCACCCAACCGAACAGGTCAAAAGCAAGCAAACAACTGCCACACCCCTGAACAAAGAGAGGAATACTCAGCAGAAAGGCAGGGCTCTCTTTGAATCGAAAGGCTGAAAGAAATGATCAATTTGTGCTGGATAGATAGATATACAATGACCTCAGGCCAGAAAAGTCCCTCTTAGTCGCTCAAATTATAGACAACATGCGAGGTTGCAAATAAAATTCCAAAAGCACAAGGAGGGCTGGAAGGTAACAATTTGCCGACCTCAAGGGACAATATAAAAATGAAACCAGCACAATAATGAATGAAGATGGTAATACTATGCACAGCAAAATACAAAGAATAAACAAGAGCACAATCAAAGACTTTTAATCTTTTACTCTTTAAATGTCCCAGAAATCTTTGTTATTGTGCTAATGTATTGTGTTATTATTCTCCCAGTCATGAACTGGGGAAAAAACAAACCACGAACCAATTCATTGTTCTGGGTTTCAGAGATGGTGCATGTGTTTTTCTTTCTTTCTTTCTTTCTTTCTTTCTTTCTTTCTTTCTTTCTTTCTTTCTTTCTTTCTTTCTTTCTTTGATTTGATTTGTACCCCGCCCATCTGGTCTATACAACCACTCTAAGCGGCTTCCAATATAACATAAAACAATAAAATAACACAAAATATTACATAAATCATACAATAATAAATACAATTCAATATTCTTGGGGTGGAATTAGAGTGAAATAGCATATAGAAAATGACAGCCATTTTAGTTGTCCAGCAGCCGATAAACTTTCCTAATGATGATTAACATAAATTTCCTGGTAACGTATTAGCTAATGCTATGTTGGCACGGTAATACATAACTTTACTTTAGTTGAAATAACTGGCTAACGCTAAATGTCTGTGAGTTAATATACGAGTGTTAATGACAGCAGTTGGTGAGGTTGTAAATCTGTCACTCTCTCCTTGCTTTGCAGGGTTGCTGTGGTCATAATGTCAGGTGGAAAAGACTCTAATATTACCGGCTGGAGCTCCGGGATAGCAAATAACTAAGATCTGTGAGCAAACAATTATTATTATTCTCAGTAATGATTGACTCCTCACAATAGGATGTGTCCAGTGCGCCGTGCTTAGGTCCAGTATTAATGGATGAGTTTCAATTGTTGAGACCTGATGATGTGGACAAGGTTCTTGGATCTGTCCGTTCTACCACTACTCCGCTCGACCCTTGCCCATCCTGGCTAATTGGAAGATCAGCCAGGGGGGTTCGCACCTGGGTCCAGGAGGCCGTGAATGCCTCTCTGAGAGAGGGAGTGGTCCCTACCGCCTTGAAAGAGGCGGTAATTCGACCACTCCTTAAAAAGCCTAACCTGGACCCAAGGCTGGTGGTCAACTACCGACCAGTGGCGAACCTCCCTTATTTGGGCAAGGTGTTGGAGCGGGTTGTGGCCGGGCAACTCCAGGCGCTGCTGGATGAAACGGATTTTCTGGATCCATTTCAATCGGGTTTCAGGCCGGGTTTTGGTACAGAGACAGCCTTGGTCGCCCTGTATGATGACCTTTGCCGGGAGAGAGACAGGGGGAGTGTGACCCTGTTGATACTCCTGGACCTCTCAGCGGCTTTCGACACCATCGACCATGGTGTCCTTCTGGATAGGCTGGCTGGGTTAGGAGTTGGGGGCACTGTTTTACGGTGGTTCCGCTCCTTCCTAGCTGACCGTATCCAGAGGGTGGTGCTGGGGGACAGTTGCTCTGCCCCATGGCATTTATGTCATGGGGTTCCTCAGGGCTCGATACTGTCCCCCATGCTGTTTAACATCTACATGAAACCGCTGGGAGAGGTCATCAGGAGGTTTGGGCTGAGGAGTCAGCAATATGCTGACGACACTCAGCTCTACCTCTCGTTTTCCACCAATCCAGGTGAGGCGGTTTCTGTGCTGAACTCGTGTCTGGACCTGATAATGGACTGGATGAGGGTTAATAAATTGAAACTCAATCCAGACAAGACGGAAGTGCTGTTAGTGGGTGCTTCGCCGGACAGGTTGGAGGGCCACTTCCCTGTCCTGAATGGGGTTACACTCCCCCTAAGGGACAGGGTCCGCAGCTTGGGGGTGCTCCTGGACCCCAGTCTAACACTGGAAGCCCAGGTGGACTCGGTGGCCAGGGGCGCCTTCCTCCAGCTGCGGAAACTATACCAGCTACGGCCCTACCTGGACGAGCGGAGTCTCATGACAGTTACACACACACTGGTAACATCT